AATTTATATTCATTTGTTTCATTTCTCCATTACAAAGTATCAAATTTCCCCATTTTAACAGATAATGTTTCAAAAAAATTCGGGGGTAGCACCCCGTGGGCCCCCACCCCTTCAACTCTGGGATCCCCCACTTCGACAGGCTAGCTCCGACCTTGCCTGTGCACCATTTTCATTTTGAATAATGTTAAGTGTATATCATTTGATTTATATTTTTGTGTACACTACATTGAAATTCAATAAGTTTTGGGTGGAAAAGTATATATGTTTTTCAAAACTATCCAATCACGTGATATATATAAAAAATGATGTAAAAAAATACGCACACGTAGCGTGATTGTTTCATTTTAATTTTTTATTTTTGGTTCATGCACCAGATTTTTCGGCGGCTACTAAAAGTCGTGATTTGGGTTTGCGTGTTTGACTGTACAAACAAATTTTAATCTTAGAATTATTATTTTTATCAAACAGGATTTATTAACAAAATTTACAGTTTTAGAAAAACACGGCACAGCATAACAAAATCAATTGAATATAATGTGTAGTGAATTTCTTGTTATATAAGATACCTGACTCTTTTGACTTCGAGGAGGATAAAACCAAAATGGCCTACATATTTCAAACAAGTGGGCAATCAATAACTTTAAAAACATTTATACGACCACAATCCATGACAGCGATAAATACTTAGAGTCAAATCAAATAAACGTTGGAGTATATAATTGTTTATGACGATGGTTATTTGAAAACACTTTTTTTTTTTTTTTACATAATTATTTTCAATCATATATTCATACGATAAAATATTTTATATGTAAACTCAAAATTTTTCTCTATTTTATAATAATACATTTTCCTAAAAATCACTATTCAAAATATATATTTTTTAAATAATGATTGTCAAACATGGACTTAGTGTTTGTGAAATCTCATTAAGAATGACACGTCAAAAACAAGAATTTTTTTTGCTTGTTACGCGTTTCGCGTATATTAAATTTTGGTTAGTCAAGGAGACGTGTTGAGAAATATCTGTGCATGTGGCATATCTCATTTAATGTTAAAGTATAGGTAAGGTCGATTGTATTAAGAGTATGGACTCCATCTTAAAAGATAAACCTTATTAAAATGAGTAGTTCAAATTTTTATAAGTTGGTCTATGTTGCAGTATTTAATCGATGTAGAATTTTATCTATTAGCATGCTCCCTCAAGATGTTGGCTGATTTGAGCAAATCAATTTTGAAATCCGTGTGCTCATTTTTTTTGAGTCTTAACTGAATCGAATTACTCGTTAAAACTTAATGGACTCTGATTTCATATCAGGATTTGAGATTTCATCTTAAAATGCCAATTTTATTAAGAGAAGAAGTCCAAATTTTTATAAATTAGCTTATATTTCGATATTTAATCGAAAACGTAAAATTTTATTTCTTAACAGATTGACATGATAAGTACATGAACGTCTAGTTACCTACATTTAAGAAATCTTATTTTAAAAGGAACGCTAGCACTTAATTAGATGTTCGACGATTTTACAAGGTGAATTCTATACAATGAATTTGTTTTTCCTAATAAAGTGAATCCTAAATTCAATCTTATTGTAATAATCTAGTCAAACCTAGTCAATAAAATAAAAATAAACTAAGAAAGTAAATGCGTGTCAAGCTACTGACAACTAAAAAGGACAAAAAAAAAAAAAAATAAAGTGAAATGCAGTGAAAAAGTCTTGTTGTTTCATCTCCTTATTCAATCAAGATAGATGAAATTTACAAAATTGTGTCTGCATATATATGCCTTTTAATTTCTTTTCTTATTCTTGGTGGTGTAATGCCCAAAATCAAAATGAACCAAATCCAGTGAGGGCAGTTGCCTAACTGGATCTCATGTGATTCCGTTCCCATTCTCATACAGTTTATTTATACCAATTCTACTTCTTGAAAATGGGAGAGTAAATAATTGGTCAATCGGGAAAAAGGATATAATTTGGATTTGAGGAAAAGTAATTACAAAAAGATAGAAAAAATTCTGTGTAAATTTTGTGGGGTCAGTTGACCCCCCAAATGACACATTAATGTACGCCTATGCTTGTCGTGTCGTACGAAAGAAATCACGCCTTCTCTTTAGAAAACATTTATTTTCATCACTTTTGTCGTTTTAGCCTCCCTAAATGCCTAGGTTCTTGGTATGTCATTGTTTGATAGATCTTTGGATGTGGTGATGGCAATGGGCCGAGCCGAGC